AACAAAATTTGACTGCTGTGCTGAAGCCCACTCTGTGACTTCAAACAGAGATGTTTTTTTTTTCTGTGACCATTGATTTACAAAGATTCACTTAAATATTTACTCCTTGCTGGCAAGGCTGCAACTGCAACTAGACTTTGCTGCAGATTTTTGAATGACTTGATGAGATGGTCATGGAACTGGCTGAAGCAGTGCACTGCAGCGGCCTGCAAAACCACACCTGCCCAGGTGAAACCCCAGTCCTATGGACGAGGACCTGCTCCATATGTGGATATAAATGACTCATTCTAGGTGACGAAAACAGGATTCTTTTATTATTTTCCTCAGGTGATTATGATAAAACATACTCATTACATTATAGTCCACACTGGACCTTTAAAAACGTATGTATTTTTTCTCTGTTATTGACTGTGTGTGTGTGTGTTTTTACCAAACAGTCTACAGCATTTACTAGAAACAGGTGTGGTGAGAGCGTGGAAATCTTAGCAGAAGTTGCTCAACAGTTTCTCCAGAACATAACACAATAAAGCTGATGGTACAGTAGCTAGCCTGTTCCTGTTTTGACAAATGGAGAAATGGGAAGGTTTTTCATTTCAAGGATTTCATTTTTGTAGACTGCCTTTGTATTTAACATGAAATTAAAACGAGAATAAAATGTTTCAATTTTTGCTGTTTTGCATTGGGCTTTGTGTTCAGCACTTGGTTACTTTACAGTTCACTAGCAAGGACCACACCACAATGATATGCAGTTTAAAGATTCAATAAAGATGTGATTGTCAGAGAATGAATGAATGAATGAATGGGGGAGTGCAGATTTGCAGATGAATGAATGGGATGGAGATGACGTCATCAGAGGGTCGGACTGGGTGAGGTGTAGATGTGGGCAGAGTGACTCAGTGTGGGGGTTCTGTCTCGTGTTCTGATGAGCCCGTGCTGTTAGGAAGCCCCCCAGTCGATGCTGTTGGGAATAGAATGATTTTATGTGTTTTACTATAAGTTTTGTTTCACTATATAAGTTTTAGATGTGTGAACAATGAGAATACTGAGATGATTTCAGCTGATCTGAATGTGTTTGCTTTGCAGAAGTGGAGAAGTACAGGAGAGGAAGAGACATGAAGTCTGAGGAGCACATACCGCAATGCTTAGATAATTAGTTTCATATATGATAAAAAGAATAGAAAGTGATGTACAGATAGTAAGGTACAGCACGTGTAGGGAGTTGTGTTGTTCTCTTGTCTTTCAAAACAGGAACCACGCCCCCACCGTCAACGGGAAGGAGTCAGATTAACACGAGGCAGGGGCGTGGTGTGGCGAAGGAGGAAGTGGAACCGCCAATGAGAAGAGGACAACGCCTCGCGTGCACAATGACACTCTGTTACGCTCAAATATACTGGGTCAGAGGAAGGACAGGAAGTCAGACTGACACACCTTTGTTGTTTGTCAGGGACGTGAAGTTGAGACCCAGAGCTCTGTAACACTGTTGCCAAGTCTGCTTATTATAAGCGACTTTGGGCTTGTTTTTCTATAAAGTCGCTTACAAATATTGGTAGTCGCGGGTCGCGTTTTTTTTGGCCTTGTCTCTAAAGCGTAGTTGCTTATTTGGGCTTGGTCCCAGCTCCATAATAAGTTGTCAAGCAGATATTTTCGATATGTTATTTAAACGTAGGATAGTTTGTCTTGCCTGTTCCCTCTGTCCCTCCCCTTTCCCCATACACACAGGAGACAGCAAGTTTTTTCCCACCCGTATCCTGCTTCTAATTGGCTCTGACTCTGATGGCAACGAGTACTAGCCAATCAGAGGCAGAGCAGGGTTGTTTGCAGTGTTGTTTTTTAAAACATCAGTCCTGTAACTAAAAGAAAAAAGTTAGATGAGTGCATAAAAAGCAATAATAAATAAAGACTTTGTGAATTCAGGATGATATTTATTTGTGTGTGCAAATTTTAATTATCAGAGGTTTACTGTGTATATAATGTAATTGGTACATAAGTCTATATTTGATATCCCATCTGTTTTCTAATGTTAAATAATGTTAAAAGGTGGTTTAACTCCCTCTTGTAGTCATTGTCCTGAAGGTCAGGGGAGAAAAATAAATAAACTGTGTACCATGGGTACAGTTTTGCAAAACTGCGCACAGTTTACTTATCTGTCCACATGGATGTAAATTGACAATCTGTACCCACAGTTTAAAATCCGTCCCCACGGACTGTAAAACCGTGCACACAGTTTATTTAATTTTCTCTCACTGGAACCTAGGGGGGCTCCGTAGAAAAAGTCGCTTGTTTTGGGCTTGTTTTCACAGGCCTGGTTGCTTATTTGTCTCGTGAGATCTGGCAACACTGCTCTGTAATTTTATTCCTTTACTGCTTAACAAACTACATTAACTGAGACCGAATATCTTCTCCTATTGCTTCATTAAAGAACACGCAGGACTGAGCTCACACATAGCACACTGGAGAGTAGGACGAGCCTCGAGTCCGACAATGCCTAGAATGAGATGAGGAGAGGTACACAGCAGATTGACAAGAGAGAGGAACAGAAGGGGAGGGAGGGTCCAGTTTTCAAGATCCGCCCCGACCCGACCCGGCGACGTACAAACCCGCACCCGAACCGCAAACCCGCGCATCAGGCCAATTAGTACCGCAACCCAGTCTGACCCGTTGAAACACGACCCGCAGCCTGACCCGTATCCCGGATTTAAAGTAATCATTTTGGGTCATATTGGCTGAATATTGAACAGCATATTGCCACAGTTAAGGTGCCAGTAAGTAAACAACGACCTGAATGAAGCAGCTCACAATAAAAACCTGACTTCAGCTCCATCATCAACCCTCTGTGTTCTTCTCCCATACGAGTGTAAAAGCACTCGTTTGTTACGTTTAATGCTTTTAAACTTTTAATCTATGTAAAGGAACTTTACATGTGTAATAATAGACTTACTTTCTGTCCAGAGCGACGTTCAGCAGTTATGAGCCGTCACGTGTTTTTAGAATCCATCGAGGAGAGAAGTAATCCATCAGGGAAACACTTCAGAAACATTGATGTTTCTGAAGTGTTGCCCTGATGGATTACTTGAAAATTGGACCCGTGCAGGACTCTGCTATGTGAATGTTCTCTCCCATTCTCTGTGTGCTTCTAATCTGCAGGCCAAGGTCCCCCTGACATGCTGCAGCCTTAAGGGAAGAGAGAGAATGACATGCAGCAATGGGCCAGAACTGAACCTGTTGCAGCAGCAGCAGGAGCAGTGCCTTTATGTACACGAAGCCCACTATATCAGGTGAGCTACTTGGTGTCACACCCCCCGTACAATTTGGACACCCAGTTAAATCAAAATGTACCTTCATCTTACCTTAAGGTTAAGCTGCCCCTCCAGAAAGGCCGAAGAGTGATGCCAGCCTAGTGCATGGCAGCAGTCTGAAGTCAGCCATCAAGTAACGGTTACGTGTGACAACGAAGGACAACTACAGAAGCAACCAACGTGTGGCAAAAGTGGACCTTGGCCTGCTCTCCTCCTCCCCCCTCAGTGAGTAAAGAACTGACCAGTCCCCCCTCCCCCGCATTAGATGAACTCTGATTTTAAAATATGTGTAAATAATAAAATTGTGTTTTAACCCTTAACAGCATGTTGACTTTTGCCCTCACATTACTGGATGTCAAACCATGAATCTGCAGACCCTCTGCAGGTATTGTAGTAGGGGTGTTATATACACACAACAATAAACAGACTTTTTAAAAGTTGAATTATTTATTTGTGAAGGAAAAATGTGCAGATTGAACTATACGTATGAATAATGCAGAATCATATGGAATGTAGATCATTTTGCATACAGTACATGGCAGTAATTGCAACTCTAGAATATTCACATTTATCATCAGGTAAAGTACAATGAATTATGTTTTGAAACAAGTTAAGCAAAAAGTTAATAAATTCATGACTCAAACAGGTTTATGTCATGAGAATTACTGTTGATTAGGGGTGTGCCATATCTCGTTCACGATAATACTGGTATTTTTTTAATATGATATAAAAAATTCATACCATCATACTCACGATATTTGGACTTGTTGACATATTGACGTCATACTGTTACCCATGGTAACAACAAGCATAGCTAAAGGGCAAAAATAAATACAGACTCCATGGTGGTTCCATCTCTCCTTCTCCTCGATTGCCGTGCGCACACAGGAGTCAAGTGATTAAACCTTTGATAATGCAAACCTACATGCCGCCTACGGCTCAACAAAGAACTACATACATGTGAATGTGCGATAGTTATTATAGCAAAATAGCCTGTCACAGGTTACAGAGCATAAAGGTCCAGGTGGGGGAAAAAAACAACTTAGAAGAGAAGGAAATCACCTGTTGATTCATATATATATATAGATCCCAGGGTGCATTTTTTGTATTTGTGAGATGTTTAAATGTGTAACTTGTGGTAGATTTTATTTTGTTGAACTATTAATATTGTATACAGAATCTGAATCTCACTCTGAGTTAGTGTTGTTCTTTACAAACTAAATAAATGAGAGATAATTTTTCTTTAGTTTTTACTGAATATTTGAAGGCAAACTGGTTGACATATGAAACTATATCACTATATCACTTATTCTATTTTCTTTAATTAATAATAAATTTTTTCCCTAATATGTCATATCGTCAAGAATATCGTTATCACAAAAATACCTTTAGATATTGTGATATTCTTTCAGGGCCATATCGCCCACCCCTACAGCTGATTAAAAATCCCTACATTTTAATGCTGTATGATGCTAAACAGTTTAAATGGATCTCATTTCTGATCAAAGTGTCAGAGTTGGCAACATGACCTTCATTAGCGTCATTAGCCCTTTTTACACAGCCCTCTTTAAAGTGGAAATTTCATGCCATTATGCCGCCTCGCCATGCAGTATAATCGTGGAGTGGGGGGGCAGAGTTGTCTCACCTTTAAGCTGGCATTGGAGGTATTCACAGCACCGAAACGATATCTGTATTAACAGGGCAACTGGCAGGATGTGAGTTTTGATAACTATCATACATGCATGCAACCTATCATAGGAGACTTACAAAGTTTGTGGTAACAGTTAGCAGCTAACTCAAAGAACAGCGGCTGAAAATGTCCACAAATTGGGAAAACAATGAGGTCAGGGAGCTCCTTACCCTCTAAGGAGCAGACGTGATCAGCCACCATAAAACAGGGGATGGTTAATGATTCTTATTGCCATGTTATGTAATTGTTACTTTTTATAAATTGCTGCTGACACATATGTTATATGTCACACTAGAGGCCAACATTGTTTGATTATATGCCACACCTGTCACGCCTCTTTGGATTCTGCGATGCCAGCATGCTGTCTAAAATCCCACTCTGGAGCAGCCTAATGCTGCTGTTGTTTGCTTCTGTGTAAAATTACAAAGGTGGCATGAAGAGGGACTTCTTACAGTGCTATCTCTGTATAAAAAGGACTATTGTCTCTGTTCACCAACACTACTGTATTACAGAATTTTTTTCTCTTCAATTTTTTGATTTTCATCCACTTCATCAGATGGAACTTCTGTTTCTGTTCCTCTCTGGATAAAATGGCATCTCCAGGATAGCTTTGTTTTTCTCTGATGGCTGCAGACCTTTGCTCAGTGAGTCATGAATCTTCTGCCATGAGTCCAACTCTGAGCTCCAAAGAGCAGCTCTGGCTCTGATGAACTGTGAGACTTCGGTCTCACTGCCTTTGGCCAGACTGATACTGTCTTTACAGATGAAGACAATATCCATGCCGAGGAAGAGAGCATTGAGCCCAATGAGACCAGCCCTGGCTGACTTGGAGAGGGCAAGAGGCCCTTTGACAGCTGCCTGTCCAATATCTGGGAGATCTGCTGCCACCCTGGGCACATTACGTAATGCTTGTCCTTCCTGCACTGCCACTCTGCCAGCACTTGTCACCAGCTCTTCACTTTTTAACATTTTAAGGGCTGAGGCAGCATCAACAAGTGAATCAATACCTTTTCCAATAGCACCAGCTTTACAAAGCATCTTGCCAACTCCCAGAACCACATCTATCTGGCTTGTTTGGCTTTGGGTGACCTCTAGACAACCCTGGAGACTCTGCACATCCTCCATGAACCTCTGGAAAACTTCACTGGCTTTCTTTTGATGTTTGCAGTTAACTCCAATCTCTGCAGCAGTGGTTACAGCACTGTTGACTCCACTGGTTATTCCCAGCCCTACCCCCGTCATTGTCAGACCTAGAGACACTCCAGCTGTTACAGGAATTAATGCCAAACCAACGATGGAAAGCACACCTCCAACTGCCCCCACTGAGCTGCCTACCACACTGGAGATCTTTGCCCCCTTATTCATCCTGTCCAGCTGAACAGCACTCTCCTCCAGGTCTTTAAGAAACTGCAGCATTCTGGGCTGTCGCTTGTTGAACTCATCAATGAAGCCAGAACATGGCTCATCCTGAAACAAGAACACCATCCGGAAGTTCTGGTTCATCCTGATGAAGATAAAAGAGGAAATTAAGAGAGACTTTTGTCTTCCTTTTTTTTTTGGAAAACACATTAGATGGGTACATATGTATGGAAGCCCATTTCCTCCACTTGATGGGAAAAAATAATATCTATTAACTCAAAATAATGAGATACTAAGTCAAAATAATGACTTACTAAGT